GTCGAAAATGAGATGGCGTCGGGATCCATGGGACGAGCTGTGGGTGTCCTCACCCCAGCCATGTTCTATCCTGAAGGGCAACCCTAATCGGCTTCACGATGGCTCTCTGGTTAGCAAGTTTGAATGCCCGGGGCCTGAGGTCCGAGTCTCGCAGGGCGAGGCTCTCTCGTGACCTTCAGCGCCTCGGGGTGAATATATGTTGTTTGCAAGAGACCCGGTTTTCTTCTCATGATCGTGAGGACATACTGTCTAGGGGTTCGCCCTTTATTCAGCATGTTTTGATGGTCGTTCGAGGGGTGTCTCTTGGCTAGTTTGCAGGTCTTTGAAGGCTGCATGTACCCTTGTCTTCGCGGATCCGGCGGGCAGGCTTTGCGTGCTGGATGTTACCATAAAGGATAAGGTTCTTCGTCTCATTGGGGTTTATGCGCCCAATATCCATTCCGAGCGGCCTGCTTTGTTTCGGCAGATCGCGCCGTTCTTGACGACGTCTCGTCGGGTAGTTTTAGCGGGGGATTGGAATGCCGTCCTTGACCCCGATATAGATCGGATAGGGCATAAAAAAGGTACTAACAACCCGGATGTGAAACCATTTCGGGACTTTATCGATGGGTTTGATCTCGTCGATAAGTTCCGGAATGAACACCCTCGGGAGGTAGCATGGACTTGGACTACTAGTGGCAGCTCGGCTCCTGGTTCGCTTGCGAGCTACCTGGACCGAGTCTTAGTTAGGAGAGTCGATGTAGGGCTCTTAGGCTGTCCAAGTTTCCATTATATAGTTTATACGGACCATAGGCTTGTCCGGGTCCGTGTAAACTTAGATAAACCTAAGGTTAAGTTGGCTGGTTACTGGAAATTGAACTGTTCGCTTTTCAGTGATCAGGGTTTCCGGGACCAGCTGCTACTAACAATCCAGAGGGAATTGACGGGAGCGGTTGTGGGAAATGCCTGGTGGGGCAAATTTAAAATCTAAGATTCGTTCGTTTGCTGCCGACTTTAGTCGTCGGCTCAATTTAGATAAATTAGCGGCGCAAACGGCTTTAGAAGAAAAAGTTGATCGGGCCGTGAAATCCCGTGTTAGTGGGGACATAGTCTTAGCTAAGGCAGAGTTGGCCTCCTTGCTTATCAAGAAGGACCAAGCTCTGGTAGTTAGGGCTAGGTTAAAAAGAATGTCTTCTGAGGCAACGAATATGGCCGCTGAACTGCGTGTAGAGGAAAATCGAAACGCGGCCAGGCGACATATAGCGTGCGTCACATTACCGGATAAGCGGACTGTGACTACAAACGCGGGCATATGTGAGGTCTTTCGAGATTATTTTCAGGAGCTTTTCACCAGGGAGCCCGGTCTGAGTTCTGCTCAGTTCGACGCCTATTTAGCTGACTTTCCCTGCCTCTCGGCAGCTGAAGTGGCTAGGTGCGAGGGCCCCATAACAGAGTCGGAAATCTGGGAAGCGCTGAAGCAGGTTGGCCTGGATAAGTCTCCGGGATTAGATGGTCTGCCCTACGAAGTTTACTTGAGGTTGTCGCACGTTTTTGTGCCTTTGCTGGAACTGATGTACAACCACTGGATGAGGCAGGGGTCTTTACCTCAACGCTTCACCAGAGGTGTCATCAAGTTGCTGCGTAAGGACAAGGACGGTGGGGATGGGTTAGGGAACTTTCGCCCTTTAACGATGTTAAACACTGACTTAAAGATTTTGGCGAAGATCTTGGCCAACCGTTTGCAGCTTGTCCTGTCTAGTCTGATTGGCCCTGAACAGACTTGTGCTGTGAAGGGCAGGACTATTCAGGATAACCTTCATATGGTACGCCTGATCTTAGAACAAGTCGACAGTGAAGCCGCGCTGATCAATTTAGATCAGTCCAAGGCCTTCGATAGGGTTGACCATCGATTTCTGGAGGCTGTCCTTTCGGCGGCCGGTTTCGGAGCCGACTTTCGCTCCTGGATCCGTCTCTTGTATGCGACCCCGGTGCGCTGGTGGAAGTGAATGGGGTAAGATCGAAGCCTTTCGTATTGTCTCGCTCCATTCGTCAAGGTTGTCCGCTATCGCCTCTGCTTTACGTTCTTGCGTTGGAGCCTTTCCTTCGCAAGTTAAAGGCGAATCCGGTCCTACGCGGTATTTCGCTGCCTGGTGCTAACACCTCGGCCAGGTATTCTGCCTATGCTGACGACGTTTCGGTTCTTGTGTCGAGCAGAGCCGAGATTAACGAAGTCAGTAAGCAGATCAGTGGGTATGAGATGGTGACAGGGGCCAAAATCAACCGCGATAAGTCTGTGGGCTTGCGGTTGGGTGCGTGGAAGGAGTTTCTCTTCCCGGACCTTTCCTCTGGACGGATGGGCCGATCAAGATACTCGGCGTCTGGTTCGGTCCTGATCTCCAGTTGGAAAAGAATTGGTCGGAGGTACAGGGGCGGGCCGAGGCCGCGGCTAGTCTGTGGTCTCGGAGGAGACTTTCCCTGAAGGGAAGGGCGGAAGTTTGTGGTTCCCACATCTATCCGATACTCCTCTACCGTCTTTCTGTGCTTCCACTCCCGTGTGCCCGACTAATGTCATTAGTCAAGGCCTTGTTCTCTTTCTTGTGGAGAGGCAAGGCCCACATGGCATCTCGCGAGATCTGTTGCCTTCATCCCTCTGAGGGCGGTCTGGGAATGCCTAGCATTGAGATTCGTCAATATATGCTACGCATTACCTTTCTCGACCGAATGTGTCGCGGTTTGGATGAGGTGGGCACCTTTTGGAAAGAAGATGTCCGTAAACATTTCCCATCCCTGAGAAGTGTGCACTCGTGCGAGGAGGAGGCCGGTCGTACTCCTCGTGGCGAGTGCTCCTTCTATCGTGAATGTCGTCGTGCTTTGAAGCTCCTCTTGCGGTCGTCGGTTGGCCTCTCCGACGCCCAAGCGTTGTCTCGTAAGGCATTATATCGTGTGTTAGTTAGGGGGGCCGTTCAAGATGATCTGATCGACGAGCTCGGTCTTACGAAGCAGGAGGCTCGCTCGATATGGCCTTGGGCGCCTGGGTTGAAATGTCTCAATAACGATGAGGCATCACTCACCTGGCTGATGATTCGCGGGGCCCTCTGGGTCGGCAAAAGACTTTGTTCAGCAGGCTTGGAGAAATATCCAAACTGTCGTCGCTGTACTGGGAATGTCGAGACCATTGGTCACGCCTTTTTTCAGTGCAGTGCGGTAGTGCCGTTGTGCAAGTTTGTTGAAGGCCTCATGGTTCGCATGCTGCAGGGAAAGTTTTTTGTCCTGGAAGCCAGTTCTGTTTGTAGCAATGTGGTATCGCAATTGACGAAGGCTGAACACTATGTGTTCTGTTGCTTACTAGGGGTTATGCGAGTCGTGATTTGGACGACGCGACAGAAGGGATTCTATGAAGGCGAGAAGTTCACCTCTTCCCAACTGATCTTGTACTTTAGGCATCAGCTTAAAGTCAAGATTAGGACGGAAAGGCGGCGGCTCCCATCATCAGAATTCGGCAAAAGGTGGGTGAATCTTGCGCGAATGTGTAGAGTGAAAGGGCTGACCTAGAGTGGCATTTAGATGTCGGTTAGGCACAGAATATTGTCCTAACAGGGTTGAACATAGGCAACCCACCCAGATATTAGGTTAGACTAGGTTTTTGTTTTTGAATATTTAGTTTTTTTTTTTTTTTTCCCGTTTAACTTAGCTAGGGTATGTAAGCTCATTGGTCCCTTTTATTTCTGTCCCTTTTTTTTTTACTTTTGTTTAATTCCCCATCCCTCCCTCGTTAGGTGGTTAGTGATGTCAGTTTTCTGGTGGATGCGGGACGCCTTTCGTTTCGGGTGTGTGTTTTCGTATTTGTTGTTGTGTATGAATGAGTGAGTGTTTGTGTGAATGCTTGATGGTTTGAATGTGTAATCATTTTCTTAGTCCCGCATCGATTTCGTCTGGTTAACTGACATTTCTGCCACATTCATAGTTTGTGGGGGTTTTATTACTAACTCAGTTTTGTTTAGTTTTATTGTAAATAATTATTTCATTCTGTAAATACGCATTTGGGGGATTTTTTTTTAAAAGTTGTTATTTTATGACCCTCCCCCATGAACAATATTTGTATATATGGGGACTAGTTAGGACGTCATAGAGAAACTGAGGTATTATGGTGGACGTAGTAAGAAAGGTAGGAGTGAATGTGATGTTTTGGTGATTGGATTATTGTTGGCATGTTTGGGTCAGTGTCTGTGACTAGCTAAGTTTTAGATTTAAGACAGATGAAGACCGTCATTCCCCATCCCCCTTTTTGGCCTTGTGCCGCATTTTGTTTTTTAATGCAAATAAATATTAGTGTTGACTGGTTCACCGTGTTGGCCCGGTCTCACTCTTTATTTCATCTGAAGGTTCTGGAGGCACTTTACATCGGGTCCCGCAAGCCTTCTTTGTGCAAACAACGTGAGTGTTTGTTGGGACTCGCTGTCATCTGTCTCTAGTTCCTTCTTGCATATATATATAAATATATATATATATATATTTTTTATATATTATATCGAGTATTGTAGAGTTAAAATTTTAAAATATTGTTAAAAAAAAAATGTTTGAAATTAAAAAATCCAATCGGTTCCAATGAACTTTTAAATAAGATCACCGGCTGATCCAGAAAAATGCCTTTATAAAAAATTGACAGACAATTTCCTAATAAGATCCATAATCGAATTTCTTGTCGAAATAAAATACAGATTCCAAGCTTTGTGGAATAATGAAAGTAACATAGAAAATACGAATGGAAAATTGGCAATTATAATTTACATTTTTCTGTTTTAATTTGAATCTCCCGTTGAAGCCTGAGCATGGAGCTAGATTCATGGAGAGTAACACATGGCACCTTCTTGGAGCGACATTGAAACCGGTTTCACTTTTTGTCGTTCCAGAAGGTTTGTTGTTGCCCATTTTTTTTTAGTTTATTTTTGTTTTAATATGTCTTGTAATATTACAGATAGAAAAGAAATTTAATATTCAATTATAAGGTTCTGAATTTTTTCCTAAGAACAGAAATCGTTCAGGAGCACATCTGCTACGCGATGGAATGAAAGAAGCTTCATGAAAATAATAGAAAACGACGTTGAAAAGATTTTAATAAAAACCGAAATAATGAAAAGCATCTTTTAGTATTGCTTAAAACGAACGTTTATAATGAATATATAATGTCAGTTATGATGCCTGGATGCGAAACAGAAATAAACAAAAATCAACGCGTAAAGGTCAATGGATGTTTTCAATTCCAACCGTTTTCTCTTTCTTTGGTGATTTTACTTCTATTTCTACTTCTTCCCTATTTATGGAAAAAATCATCATAATTTGAGGGATTCTGGAAATACCAGGATATCGGGTTTTTCTGTGTTTGCTTGATTCGCAGGATACTCTGTCCATTTCTGCATGATGTCGGATTCTGTAAGGCAGTCTCTCTTTTCCTCTTGAATGCTATTAAATCTACACTATGTCTATTTGCTAAGATCTTTCACAATCTAGAATGCCTTCTTGTTGTTTTTGTTCTTTAGACTTCCTTCAATTGTTCCTTTGTTTCATTCTTCTTCTAGGCCTTCTACTCGTCAGTGTTTTTCATGCATCACACAACGTTAATATTTCATCTTTGGATGTTTTTATCTCAGTCTTTGGTCGCTTCATTCATAAGTGAGTTCAAATTGGTCGTCAACATTTCAGTGTCTTCTCCAAACGTGAACAATGGTGCAAATTTTTCACTCATGGCTGCATGAAAGGAATCGCAGATGTTTCTGATCTTTTAGGCGATCAAATAGGAATTTCACCCTGATGTTCTTTCGCCCAACAATCATTTTCAACCTAAAATCAAAGGTTCAATAAGTGAATCATGATCACTTTTGATTCAGCACCAAGGAATGTCGTCGTTTTTGCTTTATTGATGCTCGATCGGAAACGTTTCTGGACTAGAATGTAGCCAATCTGGTTATGATAGTTTTCGTTTTTTTTTTGTTTTGTTTTTTTGCATGCTAATTCCAATATCGAGATGCCTTATACATTCCAAGAGTCTTGACCGGTATCATGTTGTTATAGCCGGTCAATTCCAGCAGTCGTCTGTCTTTCTCACTGATGAGGTCATTACATGATGAGCCACAATACTTTCCACACTCATTCCTTGACTCTTGTACAACTTTGACGTTATAATTTTCTTGAACAATTATAATGTCTTTCTTGTTTACTTGGTTGGTAACCGCCTGGAGCTGCGTGTAAGTCTTCTTGAATCGTCGTTGAGGCTGAGGACTGGATGATGATGGTTAAAAGGTGACGCTTTTAGAGACAAGTGAGAGATCAACTGAATATAGGAAAGCATGTCCTTGTTGACCTGGATGCCCACCCTGTGTACCTATAGCGGTTGATTTAGCTGCCGTAGGGGTATATATAACTTCCTATGTTCTTATGTTCACCGATGCCTCTTCACTTGCTTTTACATAATCCTATGATTTGCTATCGTCCAGTTCACACTCCTCCTCAGTCTTTTGAACGGAAGAAGAGGTTTATACCTTGTTTCCTGTTTAAGATTGGCTTTTCGGTTCATTCTGAAGTCTACTTCAAGTCTATACTTCTAATATCTCCGTGTGAACTCTGAAATCTTATTTATTATTATTATTATTATTATTTTCTTTTCCTCAATAGGAGTAGATAGATTTGTCTATTGTTCGGTTTACACTCCTCCCAAGTCTTTTCAACAGGAGTAAAAGTTTATCCCTTGTTTCTTTCATTATCTTTCAGGCCCAGTAGCCCCCTTGCGTCTTAATAGCATTATCTCCTTGCTTGGGGTAAATTGTAGCGCTTCGGTTCCTAGAGTCTACAATGGTGATGGTGCCACTTGCTATGATCTTGTTTTTCTTTTTTTGTCCATCAGTCGTATAACTGACAACTTCGTCCTGATGAACAACGACAGGCGCGACTCTTTCATTCCGGACGATGACCGAATCACCCGGCATAAATGTCGGGGGTGGGGATTCATTCATACATATCGTGTTGTGGACAAAATCGATCTGACAAAGACCATTGATCTCCAGCCAACAGAAGAAACATGGACTGATATCATCACTGAGTAGACTGGAAGATTCTTTAATAAGACCCAGGCATTGACATCCAACCGAGATATATGGCGGAAACTGATAAGGGGTTCAGTTGCGCAGGTCACTGGAAACATATTTGAGTAACACGATGTCTTATATGAATAAATTAATACTTTGTTATTTTATCTGTTAATATGGGCTCCTTGACGTTCTATAACTTTCATCAATACCTTAAACATTATTTAAGTTAACTTTTCTATTGCTTCAATTTTAACATTAATTGCAGCTGTTTTTGTTCCCTTCCAGAGATTTTCTTTGCTCAAATACTGTTTTCCATTCCATTCTCATATATATATATATATATATATATATATATCTTTTGCTGAGGGATCATAAGTTTTGGATAGGAGAATATCGAGAGTATTCCATTAAGGTGCTGCCTTTGAAACGGTTTTTAGTCAGCTTTACAGAATGTTATGCCATCTTTTTTGCATGAATAAAGTCTTTAGATTACAGATTCTTTCTTATGACTTGTATAATTTGTATATAATTTAACTAGCATAGCAGACGACGAACCCCCAAAATGAATTCCAAACACAACTGCTGTCTTCTAAGGCGCACTGGTTGAGTATTTCTATGGAGGACAAGTGTTAAATCCTCCATCAGGCTCATTCAATCATCACTAAAAATGACACGTGATATATCTTTTTTATGTATTTTTTACGCTCAACATTTTCTTTATGTTGTTTTCTTAAGGTGGCAGTTTGGTTGCTTTGATGTCTTCAGACAAATTTCTTATTCTGCATCTGTTTTCTTTGTTTAGAGTTGCGACACTAGATTCTTCAAGCATGTTTTTGCTGAATAATCTAATTTTGTTACCGCTTACCTTTTTAATTATCCTCAAATCTCTCTCATAAAATAATTTTTTTCTTCTTAATTTACCAATGATTTAAATTTACCGTTTCATTGTTTTGTGACGTCTGTTCAACTTTATCTTCCTTTCCAATATGAGGAACAAACCTCAAGTTGCATAATAAAACTCAAACTCCCTCCAAACAAACGGAGAGCAGAAACTGAAATTCCCGATGGATATTTTGCATATATGTATAAGTATTTCCTGAAATTTAATCAACATTACTTGGTTAATACCAAATTTACTTTGAAAAAATAGACTCACATAATAAAATCTGACATATGGATGAATTCATAGATGCAGACTATTTTTCATGCAAAAATGTTTATATAAAAGTTTCCATTTGCCTAAAGGCACACGCGCATCTAAAGAAACGCTAAAATGAATGAAGAAATAAATATGTATGAGAAAATATACATAAAATGTGCTTTTCTTCTTTATACAAACACCAGCACCGCCATGCAGACACATATTATTATATATATATATATATATATATATATATATATATATATATATATATATATGCATCAACAGTGAAATATTCCATATACTTATGCCATAGACATATTTATCATTTATCTTCACTTATACGAATGTTTTAGAGTTTTAAGAAAATTATGTCTTTCTTTTCTCTATCACTCTCATTCTCTCTCTTTCCCCATGTATATGTATGTATACATGCCTAAATATATATATATATTCTTACATACGTTATACTTACATTAGAGAGCGAGAAAATTGATCATATTACTCCAGGTTATTTTGTGCAGACATGACAATATGACCCTAAAACAATTTTGTAGCAAAATCTTGTGAGCTTAAGGCTGTCTCTAATAAATTAATAATACATAGATAAATAGATATAAATAGACTCAGACATCCATACAGGCATACATTAATACTTGATAGATAGATAGATAGATATGAAGAGACTCAGATAGATAGATAGATAGATAGATATCAACAAATTCAAATTGATGAAATACATTACTTTTCTCTTCTGCATTATTTTCTATCTTTGAGGATATTATTACCTTTATATGTGATCCCAAAGATATGTTGGGAGTACCGAGAAGTTCCCGACACTACTTATCGCAGATTTTAGCAAATGACAAAACATCAAATTACTTTTTGATGGGGAATGCTTTGCGGTTGAGCAGTGAGGTTTTTAGCACCCCCCCATCAAACCTAAATACAGGCTCAAACCTAAAGAGCAACAGTGACATACTTTGTTAAAGTATTGTTAAATCTGGTCAATGCAACTCGATCAATACAAACGCTGCCAAAGGAAAATGTCGCTTGAAACGACAAAACAAAGAAAAAAGAAAAACTAAAAAATAAAGAAAGGATTACAAAAAACGGTCAAAAAGTAAAAGAAAAACAAAAGAAAAGACAGATCATAAGACAGACACCGACTAATGAAATAATCCTACCTGCCCAAAGTTTAAATAAAATCAACTAAGTGTGAACAGTAACCACCCCGCAAAAAAAAAAAGAAAAAAAAAAAAAGAAAAGATAGTTCACTTCTCTACTCTGGGTTTTTCGCAACGCGATCGCCAAGCTACAAGAAATATATATATATATATATATATATATATATATTATAATGAAGAGAAAGAACAGCAAGATATATAATCAGTAAGATATAAAATTCGCTTGAAAATGAAATAGAACTAGGGACTTTAATTTAATTCTATAATTGAATTTGAAGTTTTTTGTAGCTTCAGTTTTTGAAACATGGTAATTCCTGTGTAGCGATGGAACCATATTTTTAAATAAGCAAATTTATAATATATATTTTTAAATAAGTAAATTTATAATATATATGTGTGTGTGTGTGTGTGTGTGTGTGTGTGTGTGTAGGATTTTGAAAATTTCTCGTCCTGACCATAGAAGAATTCAAAAATAAAATTTGATAATTGTTTATGTAGTCAGAATTTAGGAAATGGGTCGAGCCGAGAACTTTTCACCAAATCTTCGTCTATATATGTGTATGTATCTATGTATGTATGCATGTGTGCGTTGGTTGTGTACTGCTACGTGTGACCTCACGTGATTATGTATACGTTAATAGTTTTTTTTTTTCTGGACCCTATATCTCTCACCTTCTTAGCCATGATTCCCAAATAGGCGATGGTCATCATTAATACGCAAATATTGGAAACAGGCCCTCGTGTCTGCTGCATTCATCTTCGTGTGGAACATTCTTACCCAATCAACTCCCAATATGCAAGCGTAAGTAATTGCATGACATTTTTCATTTTTCCCATCGTTTCTCTAATCACACTGCTGCGGAATCCTACTCTAATATTGAATGACTTTGTCACAATGGAACCACTTCATCACACTTTTCTCACTACCGGCACGAACCGAAAGATTCTTTCTTTTATAGTTTCATTAATATATTCATGTTTCTCTATTATTTTTTTTTAGTAATATTGTCAATTTGCAATGAGAAGAGTTTGATCATCTGAACGTGACGCACGGATAGACAAGTGATACTCACTGACCATTTACAAACACCTTCAATACAAGAGACGATGTTTTTTTTTCTTCATAATGGAGGCAAACATAATGATGTTCATAATAGTTTCTCTCTGTTCGCGGTGCGCTTTTCTTACTTGCCAAGTAGAACTGAAAATTTTCTAATTTTTTTGAATAGTATTTTATTGCTTTTCAGATAACAAGATTGTGAATTAGTGTTGCAAATAGTCGATGATGGAATTTCACATACAAAGCAAACATTTGGGATAATTTGCAAAATACAGATTAAATGGTAAAATATAGCACATTTTAAAGTATTTTTTGCATAAATTTGACAAATTATTTTAAGCGGTTATTCGAATGAAAATCCATTAAATAAATGAAAATAAATGAAATTATTTCACCTAAAAATAAAAAATAAGAAGGTAAGTGTAAACAAGCAAATAAATGAGACTTTCAAAACTATTTCAAGAAATTAAAGCAAACAAGAAATTATTCAACATTTCTTTGCAATTATTCAGAATTATCAATAAATTCCACTCGACATCAAAGATTAGGTGCTAATCGGCTGGATAAGAAATCCTGCCCAAGATAGTCTGGTATATTAACATAACGGATCAACAGAACGAGAAAGTGAGCACAATAATTACAAGATAGATAGATAGGTAGGTATTAAGTTGCCTCAGAAGGAATGTCTTCTATTTGATTACGTTGGCCCAAAACATCAACTGCTTCTGGTATGCGAATAGAGGTTGAACTATTCCGCCCATAACCTATAATTATTTTTGGTCTTGTTGCTGATAGCAGTCTGATAAATTCACGTCTGACATGAAAGTGAATCCGAATCAGAAGTGTGCCATTGAATAACGCCTTGTGAAAAAATTGCATCTAGTGATGTTCATCGACTCTTGCTGAATGTTTACAGAAACCAGACAGCGGATATGAGCACAGTCAAGCAGTGGGTAATTTGCTTCAGACAGTAGTGACCTCGTTCTTTCCTAGCGATTTTGTTCATAGCAGTCAAGCGACAAATTAAAGAACACGTCGAAAATAGCGATGACGAGGTGGAAAATAGTGTTTTTAATGGATTTTATGTTAAAAAGGGAGTTTATTATACTCCCTGTATATGTTGTAGCTGTTTTCGTGTTAAAATAAATGCAATATATTACATTCGAAGATCCACTTATAAATAAATAGATCCGAGACTTGGCTGCAAAGGTCATAGGCTGACAAATATACTCTCATGGAATGAGGATTATTTTTCAACATCTCCACCCACCCTGCGATCCACGCACTGCAAAACCAATGGAAGAAGTGCGAAGAAGCTTTCATCCTGTTTGTCAAATTAGTCATCAACAACAGTAGATATGGCATCATCATCATTGTGATACTAGTTCCCAGCCAAGTGTTTTTTCATGTTGGGGAACAGATGATAGCCAGATTGGGTCAAATCAAGAGAATAGGGAGGGTGATAAACAAGTTCAAAGCCACAGTGACGCATAAAAGCCATTGAGACCAAGGACTTGTGTGCTGAAGCATTGTCCCGATGAAACAAGGACCCATTTCGACAGTCTTTCTGGGCGTTTGCTCTTGATAGCCTTTTGCAACTGCTTTAGCAAGTTAGGCTCGTACTCGCCAATGATGGTGTGGCTCTTTTGAAAATAGGCAATAAACACAATGCTTTTTGCATCCTAACGCTATCACCTTCCCTGCAGATGAAACGACCATGGCCTTTTTGGATCAGGTGAAGAGGGGTGTTTCTACTGCATATATTGTCTTTTTGTCTCAAAGTGATGAATCGAACACACATATTGGGTTAGAAAATGCTTAAGGAAAACAGCTGAATCTGCCCCAAACAATGTCAGATTTTCCGTGATGTGATAGATAGATAGATAGATAGATAAAAAATGGCGGGAAAAATGAATGTATTCCATAGAATACTTAATTTGTAAGTTTGTAAATAGTTTTAAAAATCCTGAAACATTTTACCTTAATCAGAAATAAAAAAAAGTATTAGGGACGGAGAGGGGGTGAAAAGTTCTCGACTCCAGTCACATATCAAAATCTGACGGAAAGACCAAACGTCTTGAAGGACATTGTCGTATTTTTTTGTGTCATGAATCTATAAATTTTCCTAAAAACTTGAACAGATAAAAAGATTTTAAGAAATTTTACCGACATTCGAATGTGCAATCAAAATAGACAAAAGTAGACACTAATGTCTAAATCGAAATACACATAAACATGAACTGACTGAACAAAATGAACCCCACTCTCTCCTCATATATATAAAACTGTGATAGATAGATAGATAGATAGATAGATAGATCAGTCTTTTAAAGAGTAGCTTGAAAGAGAAGAGAAAGTAACGTTGCATAGTTGTACGAATTGAGAGACAGACACGTCGCCTAATCTTAGAAAGAAAGTCATTAAAAGTTGTCCCATCTTCCTATCCGTTTACTTCTCGTATAAACAGCTGAAACAATCGACAAGACTTAATTAGAATCTACAGGCGTGTTATGGAGAATGCACTTTTGGTAACATCCGATATCCTTGGCATCTAAGCCAGTTAGGAAGCGTTGCAGACACTCGATTAGAATAAACATCACATTCGAGAAAGAATTGGTTTTGAGGAAAAAGAGGCAGATGGTGTAAAGGTCACCTTGGGACTTCTTCGCTGTTTCCATATCCAGAGTGATGGAAAAGCAGACAGAGAGACACTGGTGGAGGATCAGGTTTCGAAAACCAATTTCGAAAACTGATAAGCGGCCAAATAAGCCGAAACAAAGACGGCAATTGAGAGCGTTGAGAGCGCTGATCCCTAAGGACAGGTCAGTGGTTTGATAGTGAAATTGAATGAAGCGAAAGCATAGAGCGAAAGATGTTTGCGGTCAAGAGTTTGAAGGTTAGCGTGCTTTTCCATTAGCCGCCTTATTTTGCCATCTTTATTTTCTGGGCGGCTTGCTCGGAGACGAAAGGCCGCCAATGTTATTGTTTGCTGACGTACGCATATAAACTTTGCGTGTCTAGGAAATCGAGCAGCATGCTTTCCGACGGCGGGGGGCAGGTAGAGTGAAACTGTCGCCATCTTGAATAATACAGGCGGTTCTTGCATTGTTTTTAAGGCGGCGTGATCAACTTTCAATGATTGGTCACAGTTTTTTGCACACGTCCACACTTCTACATAAATACACATGAACGTTTTACAAATACATAAAAATTTTGGCTATATAGCCGCATTGGCATGCAAATATATGAAGCATTCCATATATATTTATAGATATATGCAAATCTCGAAATATTTTAGCCTTTAACAATATATGTACGCCTCACATATACATACGCGAGTTGACAGGCGCCCATATATATATACATACATACACCCGCGCGCGCACACACACACACACATATATATATATATATATATATTAGCAAGAACTTGCACTGAATCTCCACCACACAGACACATGGGTGTGTGCGCAAGCACATACATACACACATGAACACATACGCACACACATATATATAATAAAAATATAGTTTTATGGCTAAAAGTGCTTAATATCAGGAATAGATTGTATGCAAATATGAAAGTAGACATTAAAGTTAACACCCAGAGGCGACAGTCTGTTTCCAGACCTGAAGATTAAATTTCGGCATGAAACAGACTGTAAAAGGTAAACATTCATCTCATTTCGAGCCATTCTGAAAATGTGATGAGGATTTATTTTAATTCGACCCCCCCCCCAAAAGATGGGAAATTTCTCTCTCTCTCTCTCTATCTATCTATATATCTATCTCTATCTCTCTCTCTCTCTCTCTCTCTCTCTCTATATATATATATATATATATATATATATATATATATATATATATATATATATATATAAAAAGGAGGTACGGTGGACTAATGAATCGGAGAGCTGAACCAAGCCTAGTTCGAATTCCAGTCGATTCACATACGTGCTAATACCCTATATGTATTAATCCTCTTCTCCCTCCATCCATAAATAGGAAGACAGACTGGGTTCTATAGCCTTGGATGACAACTGGTCTAGGAGAAGGACAACTCTGAAGTCAAAAAACTGCGGAGGGTCGATTGGGGACCTTGTGGCACGTAATGCACCAGATTTCTGTATTCGGCTCTTCAAAAAGTGTGGTTGGTCCTGCACAAAGCCTTCACCGCTATAATCAAATCATATGTGCCGGTGTCTGGGCTGTCGGTTCCTAGGAACTGAACTGCTCGACCCTCATACGTCAAACTTCAAATTGATCACACACACACACACATATATATATATATATATATATATATATATATATATATATACCCCAGCCTACCAGATTTTTGGAAGTGGATTGTGTCGAGAACTTTTCAGCCATCAGCTTTTATTCCTTTATTTGTTTAGGCAAGATTGTCAATCGAAGCTCCTTGACTTTTATGCACAAGAGCATCCCTTAAGGCACACAAGGCTATGATATTTGTCAACAGCTTGTCAACTTATCAATCCTACGAATTGTCTGTCGATTTTATGGGTTTTAACATTCTAAGATGTACATACATACTTAGACATATATACTGGTTGTTCATATATATATATATATATATATATATATATATATATATAATATTTTTAGCCGAAATTATATTTTTTCTTTCGTTTAATAAAGGAAAATATGTGATTTTTTCTAAAAGAGGGAGAGTAATTCAAAGTTGTAACACAAATATTTCGCGTCGATTAAAATAAAACACAATATTTTGCCAATAAAAGATAAATGTAACCCCGAATAACATGCTTCTAAAAAAGCCTGTTATTCAAAAATGTTTTCATCGTGGGTTCTGTCAATAAAGGCGTAGAATGACAGAGAAACGGGCTTCAATTTAAAAATATTGATAACAGTAGAAATGAAAAGATCAATAGCACAAAACAATCAAATAATTTCTCAATATGGTCTATTTGGAATTTGTTTCTGAATCTGTTTTATTGCAAATGATGATTTTATCTGATCGTTTCAAATTTGATCTGCATCAACATTTTTATTTAAAATTTTTGACGAAATTTCGTCGGTGAATGAAAATTGAATCAGATGAAAAGTTTCCCAGAGAAACGTTATCTTGGGCAAGCATCAGTTGCCATGGTTTCAGCGTTTTATGGGGTTTTGTAGCATTCATTTTGCGTTAGCATTGAGCGCTCATTAAACTGACAATCACACACACACACACACACACACACATGCACATAGAGCGAGAGAAACGTGGAATAAATTTCAATGAGTATGGCATAATATCTACAGTCAGATCGAACTATGGGTCAGTTCATCGTTCTATACATCGACTGAATCTTATTCAGAAACAGAGAGGATTATTAGGAAGAAAAGTGAGAACGGAAGATGGACAAAGAGAGAGTGAGAGTGAGAGAAGAAGAGGAAGAGAGATAGAAGAAAATGTTGCAGGGAGAAGAAGAGAGGGCAAGAAAGAATTATGATTAGAGTGAAATGGTTAGAGAAAAAAGAAGAGCGAAAAAGAGCAAAGAGAGGAGGAATAAAAATCGCGAGAGTGAGAGAGAGAAAGAAGATGAGATGGACAAAGAGTAGCTGAGATAAGCTGAGTGTGAGTACCGAGAGAAAGAGAGAGAGAGAGAGAGAGAGAGAGAGAGAGAATTTTTATTCTGTTTTTAAAATTGATATTAAAATATTCAACTAATAATAAGAACAAGGAAAATAATTGTCCGGAGTGCAGGATGATAGACAGAATTTGCCAATAAGAGAAATGAAAGCATCAGGAAATATAAAATGGAACAGTTTGTTGCATGAAAATTAAAAATACAAGTGATGATAAATCCACTCCTCACACATCACAAAATTTCATCGATATTTTACAGTCAATATTTGATCGATATTTTCCAATCAAATTTTGGTCGATATTTTACAGGCAAAATCTGATCTATATTTTACAATCAAAATTTGATTGATATTTTAGTCAAACTTGATCGATATTTTAGCGTCAAGATTTGATCGAAATTTTACAGGTAAATTTTGATCGATATTTTACTAGCAAATTTTGATTGATATTTCTCAGATAATTTTTGATCGATATTTTACAATCAAAGTTTGATCGATATTTCTACAGGCAAAATTTAAACAATATTTTACAATCAAAATTTGATTGATATTTTACAGGCAAATTTTAATCAATATTTTCCAGGTAAATTTTGATTGATATTTTACAGTCAAAATTTGATCGATATTTTACAAGCAAAATTTGATTGATATTTTGCAGACAAAATTTAATTGATATTTTACAGTCAAAATTTGATTGATATTTTACTGGTAAAATTTGATTGATATTTTACTGGCAAATTTTGATTGATATTTTGCAGGCAAATTTTGATTGATATTTTACTGTCAAAATTTGATAGATATTTTACAGTCAAAGTTGATCGATATTTTACAGTCAAAATTTCATCGATATTTTACAGTCAGAATTTAATCGATATTTTACAGGTAAATTTTGATCGATATTTTACAGTAAAAATTTGAAATTAAAATTTGAAATGCTTTATCTACTTTTGTAGTGTACAGGGAGGAATATTTGAACCGAAATGACCCCTATAGATAACGATGTGCCAGAAAGCTCACATTTTGTTCATTCGTATTGTTGTGAAATAATTGGCCAATAAGTTATTCAGGTTCAAAAATAGACTGAAATAGATCAGTAAAATTATTGAACAAAATACGTTCAGCATAAAGCGAAAAGAAAGTAGAAAGAGAGATAAAAAAAGAAAAGAGGAAAGAACGTAGAAAGAGTGAAGAAAAAGAATATAAAAAAAGAGAGAAGAAAAAGTAAGGAAAGCATTTAGAAAGAAAGAGAAGAAAGAAAAGAACATAAAAACGGAGGGGAATGGGGAAAACGTGTGCAAAAGAGAGAGAAGGAGAAAATGAGTAAAGAAAGTAGAAAGAAAGAGAGAAGGAAATGAAGATAGAACATAGAAAGAAAAAGAAAGGAAGAGAGAGAGAGAGAAGAAGAAATGAAGCAGAAAAGAGAGAAAATAACGAAAAGAGGAAAACATAGAAAGAAAGAAGAAAGAAAGAAATGAGGAAAGAATGTAGAAAGACAGAAAAGCAAAGTGTGCAGGAGAAAGGAAACCGAAAAAAAAAGAAAAAAGAAGAAAAGTAACTATGAGAATGAGAGTAGGAGAGAGATTGTGTGTTGGGCGCGAGACTTGATTTTTGCAACTGAAATGTGGCACGCCAAGAATGACAAAAAAAAAAAAAATCGTCGCATCTTTCTCCAGCAGATCCGAGTAGCTGGAACAACTAACCAATCAGATTACCAGAACTTCACATCTGCATTTTGCAATAGCGCTTCTACCCCGCCATTAATCACACTGACCAAACATACTCATATACAAAAAATCGTTATATCTCCATAAAAATAATTTAGAAGACTGCATCATATATATATATATATATATATATATATATATATATATATATATATATATATATATATATATATGGTGATTGAAATTCCTTTACTTTTATTTTAAAATACTTAAAATTTATTTATTAATTAAAATTTTTTACAAGAAATGGAAATAAGGGGAAAGCGTTTAGCATGAGGTTTTATTTAAAATTCCATATGGGCACCAGATTATGCTACCAGCTTTTCGAGCCACCCGGGAAT